TTTATGGGGGTGCAGGCCAGTCAAGTTCCTCCACCCCAAACTCGCTCATCCGTGTCTTTATGGACCTTGCTTAGTGCACTGGTTGTCACGATCTGGGATAAGGCTCAGAGTTCAGTAGCTGAAACAGCAGGCAAATTCATGGTATAACAGGCCGGGGTTGGTACACAAGCAGACGATAGTAGTGTAGGAGCAGGCCGAAGCGTAGTCAGCGAACAAGCCGAGGTCAGCAGCCAAAGGTATCAGGTATAAACAGGAGGTGCAGAGGCATGGCTTAAATATGAAGTTCAAGGGAGGAGCAAGGAGTTCAGAGTTCAGCAGCCACTAGGTTTAACTGAGGATTACACAGGACATCAGGCAAGGAGCTATCCAAGGTTCTAAAGCGGCTCAGCAGGTAGAACCACTGCCAGCTACAGCAGAGGCCCTGGGTTCAGATTCGGTTCCTGACACTGATGCCTTAAGAGTTCCCTTCACCGGAACTAAGGGGCCAAGCCCAACCTGAATCACAACCCCCAGCATAATCCCCCCTCCACCAAACTTTACACTTGGCACAATGCAGTCAGGCAAGTACCGTTCTCCTGGCAACCGCCAAACCCAGACACGTCCATCGAATTGCCAGACAGAGAAGCATGATTCGTCACTTCAGAGAACACGTCTCCACTCCTCTGGAGTCCAGTGGCAGCGTGCTTTACACCACGGCATCCCACGCTTTGGTGGTAATGTAAAGTTTGGATGCAGCTGCTCGGCCATGGAAATAGTGTCCAGAGTTTTCTGGGTTTCACCAATTTTTATTGGAAGTTACTACGAAATGTTACCGCCATCTTCTCTTTTTTGAACCAACTCACCTTACATTGCATTCTCATCATCTCCTGAAGCTCAATCCACCTTTCATAATTTGAACACTTTTTAAGTCTTGCCCTTTGTTGTAGAGGTTGATGCACTGGAAATGGCAGTGGGTATGATCCTGTTTTAGCAATCAAGTTCCAATATTCTCTTACACCTGTTGCCTTCTTCTCACAAAAGATGCGCTCATACGAGAGGAACTGTGACATTGGTTATAGGGTACTACTGGCAATTAAAGTGGCTTTGGAGGAATGGTCCTACCCATTGGAGGGAGTAGCCCATCCTATTCTTACATTTACTGACCGTATAAACCTTCAATACCTGAAAAGCATCAAGCATCTTAGACCACACTGAGTCAGATGGGCTTTCTTTTTCTTGAGACTTGTTTTTCATTTACCCTACTGTCTTTGTCGCATGTTTCCTGCTCTTGTCCTGCCTAATGCTGCCCATGAATTGGATCTTTGCCACTCCAATGATGTACTATTGCATAGTAACAAGATTTACATCCCAGAGGATTTTTGGGTTGCTGTCCTTAGTGCCTGCCATTATCTCCTACTTGCTGGGCATTTTGGTATTGCCAGGACACAGGGCCTGGTTCAGCAGACCGTCTGATGGTCATTTGTTTCTTCTTGCGCTACTTGTGCTCAGGCCAAGAACACTCTGAGCCTGATCCCAGATCGTGAGAGATTTTTTTCTTCAGCGACACAGGACAACTGGGCCTTGTGGCTTCCGGTGATTGAAATAATCGCTTACAATAATGATCCGCATGCTGTCACTTTGCAGTCCCTATTTGCAAATTAGGTTTCATTCTGCTTCACCACCAAATTGTTCTCCAGAGTCCGCAGTTTCCAACATACAGAACCGACTTACCTTCCCGGCCTCCAACCTAAATAAACTCCAGGTGCTGCTTTCCCAAGTCCAATTGAAGTCTAAACTACGGGCGCACAGAAAGAGAGAAAAAGTCCAGGAGACCTGGTATTGCTGTCCACTGCCAACCTGAGTTTACATTGTCCCTCTGAGAAATTGGGTCCTAGATTCAGTGGCCCATTTCCTATCCAGGGAATCATCAATTTAATGGCGGTCAGGTTCATTCTTCCAGCCTCCACATTTCTTCATATTCTTTATTGTTGTCCCCAAGGGTCCAGCAGAGGATCTTTCTTGGGAGCCATCTAGCATTGTCTACGTGCCCAGGGGGTCTATTTCAATCAAATCAAATAAAACTGTGCGTGCCAGTAATCAAGAATTCCAAAATCAAATGGAAAATGTTGATCTTTTAGCTATAGGTTGCAGCACTTAGCACTGTTTTATACTGTTAATAGGCCAACACTGTTGAATTCTGAGCTTTAGCAGGTTAATACCCCCCAGCAACGTGTCTGCACACAGGATGCAGACTTCATCTTAGGGGACGTACGCAAACAGCCAGTCAAAGATGTAGCAACGCATTTCTGACAGCCTCTGGAACAGCCCACTGTCATGTGTCATTCATTGATAAACCTTTTTTTTCCTGAATGAGATGTTCGACACTCCCTAAGCATGAAGAGAAGCTATCACATGAGCCATGAGAAGCAGAGATACAACATGAGTAATGATGGTACTACAGAACATGGAATACACACACACACACGCTCTTACAGCAAGAATTCACTATAGAAAGTGTATGGATGGATTTACAGAAACCAATTCTAACTGATCAATCTGATATAAACCTACAGGAGGGAAAGACGGTCAATTCCTGTTTTTTTTAATAAAAATACTAAATGTAGTTTTACACATTTTGGCAAATAGCAAAAAAAAAAAACTGAATCCGTCATGACAAAGGTGACCTGGATTACCAGGCTGCATGAACGTTACAAATTGGACCCATGTGAATGCACGGTGATTGAAATTAAAAAAGAGACTAGACCTCAGTACCTTGGGGTCTGCACAAAAAAATAAGGTCAACACAGCTTAGCCATCCCCTCCATGCAGTCACTTTGTGGTGACCACTTCAATTCCATGACACAAAGAGCTAGAACATGATAGAAGATACTGGCAGGTTATTCATAAGTTTCTTTTTAGAAGCAGCTCATCTCCTAACAGTCAGTTTCCACAGGGCCAGACACAGACAAGGGCTCAGACATCACACAGCCTTCAACTGTCCAATGAGCTGAGGGCTTTAAATCACCAGTTTCCCTCATGAATGTAGAATCAGCATCAGGCATCTTTTCCTATGACAAATGCAGCCACCTTCAGGCATCTATAAACCTTAAGAGTGTAGTCTAACTTTGCGGGTGACCCCCCCCCCCCCCCCCCCCCCCGACAATGTCTTCATCTGATTCTCTCTCAGGACAGCACCATCTTTGTTCAGGCATCATCCAGGGTCACCATCACTGATCACTAGGGGAAAGGAGACTGAGGGAATGCTTCTTACTGCCTGTAGCAGACTGATCACTGGGGATGAGGAGACTTTAGGAAAAACTTCCTCCTGCCTGATGGCAGGTTCACACCATTTTCCGGACCAGATCTGTGAACCTGTCCACAGTTCCATTGCCTTCCAGACCAGACAAAATGATACACGCAATATTTTTCTGGTCTGGAACGGACTGCTCTGGTGTGAACAGAGGCCAGAAATAGCAGAGGGATACATTAGGATACATTTTGGGTCCGGAAACAATCTGGTCTGGTCTGGGGATGATCTGGATGCGGTGTGAATGGGCCCTTAAGCAGATTAATCACTGAGGGTAAGGGAGACTGAGGAAATGCCTTCTCCTGCCTGCAGCAGACTGATCACTGAGGAGGAGGAGGAGACTTAGAAAATGTTTCCTCCTGCCTGCAGCAGACTGATCACTGAGGAGGAGGAGACTAAGGAAATGCTTCCTCCTGCATGCAGCAGACTGATAACATGTTCTCAGCCTAGGCAGTGTCACTGTCCTGTAGCACAACCATGGCTTTTTAATGATAAATGTTGGAGTTCATTGATAGACTCTCCCAGGCAACCTATTTAATGGTTAACTTTTTTACTATTTGTTATGTTGATTGAGAAGAAAGCTTGTTTGTTAAATAGCAGGGTAACATAAAAAAAAAAAAGCCATTGGTGTATGACTATACTGTATGTAATGAGGGGAAACTGGAGCAGACAAAATCTGTAGCAGCTGTGCATGGCGACCAATCAGCTTCTCTCTTCAGTTCCTTCCGTTAAGATTTGAAAAAGAAGGAGAGAAGCTGATTGGTCGCCGTGCACGGCTGCTCCAGATTCTGTTTACTCCAGTTTTGATAAATCCCCCCCAATGACTTTTATATCAGTCAATGGGCATCTATTTATTTAAGCGTATTACACTTTACTTCTGTTACACAGTTACACTGTTACAAGGTTACTTATGCCGGTCCAAAAATAAAATGCAGATGAAAATAGCAGCTTACTTTTTTTATAGTAGTGGAAATAATAATAATATGAATCATTAGGATAAAATCTGATCCACCTCCTGTTTTGCTATAGTAGTGGGGAAAAAAATAATAATAATATTAATCATTAGGATACAAACTGCCCCACCTGCCATTTTGCTATAGTAGTGGAAATAATATTATTAATAATAATAATAATAATAATCATGTGGTCCACCTCCTGTTTTGCTATAGTAGTGGAAATATTATTAATAATAATAATAATAATAATCATGTGGTCCACCTCCTGTTTTGCTATAGTAGTGGAAATATTATTAATAATAATAATAATAATATTAATCATGTGGTCCACCTCCTGTTTTGTGAATCAAACTCAGCTTAGTCCAATGGTAATCCGGCGGCTGTTCCCTAACAATCACATTCACAGGTAGAGACAGGCGAGCTTTAGATCAGCTCAGCATCCAGTTCACAAGTAGTGTACAACGCTGGCTGCCTCAGTCACATATCGATCTGTTTGGATCAACTGATACATTCATTTCCTGTTCTACCTAATTATAATAATTACAATTGAGCAAAAAATTTGTTTTTACAAAATTGGGTTCCCTCTTTTAGCACAGCATTGCACAGCATAGGGCAGGTCTGATCTCTACTTACTCTAAGGAATAGATGAAGAGTTAAGAAATAAAAAGCTTGGCGTCGGTGGACAAGGCTGCCGAACAGCCACAACTTCACACACCTCCGCTGGAAATCAAAAAAGAATAATACTATTGATAACGTACCCCAAGTCGCCGGCTTCTTATCTTGACGTAGCCCTGCTTGACAATATCGTTAAAATTTGAACCCATACCCAGAAAGCCGATGATGAGGGGGGTCGGGGGGAAAAGTGAGTGGAAGGTAAAGTTGGCAGGCTGGAAATGAGCCCGGCGGCCAGGGGGCAAGTCAGGCAAAAGTTAATCAGTCCTCCCCGACGACTCGCTGCATGCTCTCTTCCCCTTTTAAATCCACTTTGGAGAGCGGGGAGCGAGGTGTAATTCCAAGCAGCGGCGAGCTCTGAGACTGGAGCAGAGGAAGAGAAGCATTATCAGCTGATGGAGCAGCTACAGACCAGACTGTACCATTCCCCCCTGCAAGCTGCTGTGATGCAGAGAGTGGAGGAAGGAGAGGAGAGGAGGGGGGGGGGGTTGTCTAGCAATGTGATAGCAGCCCACCATTCACAAGCTGCAGCGACGTGAGCATCCAGCCTGCCCCTCCACGGTGTGGGAAGCAATGAGGGAAAGCAAACACAGCAGAGGCTCCTGTGATTAGCATAGAGGCAAAGCAAACAGAATCCAGAGTATCATTCATAAAAGGTCACCGCAGAAGCACTGACACTGTATCCGCGGTGTGACAGATAGCTTGCCAGGCGCTCTCCCTCTCTGGGTCCACTGGGCCTTGTTGCTCCACACTGACACACCGGGGACCTGTGGAGCAGGTGTCAGTTGTTCATGGAGATGTGTTAAAAGCAGCATTAAACCCTCAGCATGTATGACCTATGATAATGTTGTTTGGCACCCACCCGACTCTATGGGTATTATTGGGTCAGGAGTGCGATGGGTACACTGGATTTTGGATTATGATAATGTTGGTCCCGCATCCATAACCAAAATTAAAAAAAATAAAATTCAACCTAAGCTTTTTTAAACCTGCACAGGCATGATCATGCTTCCTGAGGCTACACGTGCTCATGCAAATCAAGACATAGGGATCTGTTTATAAACAATTCACGCTGAGAATATCTACGAACGTTCATTTTGTGCAAACAACGACAAAAACTAATTCTATATATATTTTTTGCATGTCAAATCTATTGTCGTGTAATACCGAAGGATGGCCACTAGATGGAGCTGAATGGCACAGCAAAGAAATAAATAAATTCCTATGCTCATCAGCGCCATCTAGTGGCCATAAGGCAGTATTGCATGACAATACATTCGACCGGCAAAGAAAATATATTAAGAACGTTAGTTTTTGTCATTATTTACACAAAATAAACATTCACGGAATATTTGCAGGGAAAATTGTTTATAAATAATATTTTTTTATTAATTACAGATATTTATATAGCGACAACATTTTACACAGCACAATTCACAGTGCACATTCACCCCAGTCCCTGCCCTCAAGGAGCGTACACTCTAAGCTATTATACAGACCCCGTAGTGACACTGGGATGGGCAAAGTAGAGGCCGTCAGGGTGCATCAGTCAGCACCCATAGTATAGCCTCTGCTCGGATTGCTGCACGAGCCAATGCGCATGCGCATATTCGGCGCTACGGTGCTAACAATTTAGTTGCCGGGTCCAGTTCAGATGCCGAGAGATGCTGTCAGCTCTAGTAGAAGCTTGCACAGGGACGAATGTCTCCTAATTTTTGGCACTGTCACATGTCATAGCACTACTGCCTCGTGAAGGGAAGGGAAGTGAGTCGGTACCATTCGGCACCTGGAAGCAGCCAGTATCTTCTTTGTGGAGTGAGGGAGCACAGGGAAGAGAATGTGCTGCTGGGGAGGGCGGCTTTGAAGTAAACCTGTTGCATTGGCCTGCATAGGCAAAGCACAGATTTGCTTTAAAGAGACCTCACCCAAGAGAGAAATTATGGCCACCATCTACAATTGCTCCCTGGTTGTCATGTTTACCCTGTTGCTTCCACCCTTTGTATCCCTTATCTGGAACAAGTACAGATAGAAGGATGTCTGACTTTACTCTTGATTTTAACAACTAGACAACTAGAATCTTAAGAAGGGGATTGGCAATGCAAATGTTTGGATGAATGGAGTTTATAATTAAACACTGGGACTAATGCAATAGAGAACTCGTGAGAAAAAATGTGAGAGAGAGAGAGAGAGAGAGAAAGAAAAAGAAAGAAAGGTTGCAAGGAAGGAAAAGAGAGGGGAGGGAGAGAAGAGAAAGAAGGGGGGAGACAGAGAGAGAGAGAGAAAGAAAAAGAAAGAAAGGTTGCAAGGAAGGAAAAGAGAGGGGAGGGAGAGAAGAGAAAGAAGGGGGGAGACAGAGAGAGAGAGAGAAAGAAAAAGAAAGAAAGGTTGCAAGGAAGGAAAAGAGAG